GTGTGTGTGTGTGTGTGTGTGTGTGTGTAGGTAACTAGAGAGTAGCAAATATAGAAAAGGAGTAGAGATAAGAGCGATAGGTGTCTGATTGGAAAGAAGAGAGCACACCCTACCAGAACTCCCTCCACCCACCAACTTAAACTAAAATAAAATCACAGCACTTATTTAACTTCTTACGCGTCTCTATAATATAATTCAAGGGGTATTTGGTTGTTGCTGTGGGTTTTTTTTCGGACAGACTGAACAGCTCTCTAAGACCGCAATGTGTCATTTTCATTAATTAAAGAAATACATTGTGGCTATGGAGTTTATTTTTGTTGTGACAGAACATAACTATGTCTTATAAAAATGAGATACAATACACAATTTAGGAAATTCGTATGTTTTAAACGTATGTGCTTTTTAACGCCCCCATCAATACAATTTAGGGGCTGCTTATGAGGCAGGTTTCCGACCCTGCGTGTCAGGGCCAACCCGGGTTGAGAAGGAAACAATATCCCAGCGGAATGACCGAGATTTTCTCCCCACTTAGAAATTGAACTCTGGTCTCCTGCGTTCGACAGCGAACCGCCTAACCGCTGCACCATAGACACCGGTCCTATACGTCCGAACAGACCATAAACATATTGACCACAATGAAACCCACCCACATAAAATGTTTGAAGCAGAAACAGATGCCATAACCCAACCCACAACAGAACGGGACAAACGCAAACTAACTGGCTTTTCCAAGGACAATTTTGGACAATCAGGTTTCCCCAACACCAGTTGGTTTTAATCCTTGAAGTGTCAGATGCGTTGATGAAAGCTTTTACGAATGGGCTGGCTGGAAGCACATATTCTTCACCTCTTCGTGACTGCAGCTGTATAAACCTCAGAAGGGTTGTTTGGCGTATTCCCGCCCTTCTCGGGGCATAAACGACTATTGATAAAGGCTAAAGGTACAAAATATCGCCATTACTGAGTAACAAAATTATTATAGTGAGCGAGGGGCGGCGCTTCATATTTCTACTTAGATTCAAAAAGAGACTCAAATCTCCTTTGTTCGAGTCGTATTTTCATTACCGCAAATAATGGAATGGTTCAACGGCATAATCTGCCCGTTCCAACTAGACCGTTTATTTGAAAGACGGAACCTTCAATATTAAAACGGTTTCCAACAGCATCGAAATAAGTTGATGAGCAGCCACGAAGCCTTCTAAAAAAACCGAACTCTCAAAATGACTAGCAGGGAATTGAGCCAGTGTCGTGCTTGTTAATGTTGAATGCCCCCCATCAATACAAGCTGGATCATTTATAAGGTGGGTC